ATGCTTCAATGTAAACACTTGATCTACACATCCCCTACCCACTCTGAAACCTCCTTGCTCATCTGCAATCCTACATTCTGTCTTACCTCTAATTCTTTCAATTATAACCCTACCGTATACTTTTCCTGGTATACTCAGTAAACTTATTCCTCTATAATTTTTACAATCTCTTTTGTCCCTTTCCCTTTATATAAAGGGACTATACATGCTCTCCGCCAATCCCTAGGTACCTTCCCTCTTTCATACATTTATTAAACAAAAGTACCAACCACTCCAACACTATATCCCCCCTGCTTTTAACATTTCTGTCATGATCCCATCAGTTCCAGCTGCTTTACCCCCTTTCATTCTACGTAATGCCTCACGTACTTCCACCACACTTACATTCTGCTCTTCTTCACTCCTAAAAGATGGTATACCTCCCTGGCCAGTGCATGAAATTACCGCCTCCCTTTCTTCCTCAACATTTAAAAGTTCCTCAAAATATTCTCGCCATCTACCTAATACCTCCCTCTCCCCATCTACTAACTCCCCTACTCTGTTTTTAACTGACAAATCCATATTTTCCCTAGGCTTTCTTAACTTGTTTAACTCACTCCAAAATTTTTTCTTATTTTCATTAAAATTTCTTGACAGTGCCTCTCCCACTCTATCATCTGCTCTCCTTTTGCACTCTCTCACCACTCTCTTCACCTTTCTTTACTCTCCATATGCTCTGCCTCTTCTTATAACACTTCTGCTTTGTAAAAACCTCTCATAAGCTACCTTTTTCTCTTTTATCACACCCTTTACTTCATCATTCCACCAGTCACTCCTCTTTCCTTCCTGCCCCCACCCTCCTATAATCACAGACTCTGCCCCACATTCTAATACTGCATTTTTAAAACTATTCCAACCCTCTTCAACCCCCCCCCCCACTACTCATCTTTGCACTAGCCCACCTTTCTGCCAATAGTCGCTTATATCTCACCCGAACTTCCTCCTCCCTTAGTTTATACACTTTCACCTCCCTCTTACTTGTTGTTGCCACCTTCCTCTTTTCCCATCTACCTCTTACTCTAACTGTAGCTACAACTAAATAATGATCCGATATATCAGTTGCCCCTCTATAAACATGTACATCCTGGAGCCTACCCATCAACCTTTTATCCACCAATACATAATCTAATAAACTACTTTCATTACGTGCTACATCATACCTTGTATATTTATTTATCCTCTTTTTCATAAAATATGTATTACTTATTACCAAATTTCTTTCTACACATAGCTCAATTAAAGGCTCCCCATTTACATTTACCCCTGGCACCCCAAATTTACCTACTACTCCCTCCATAACATTTTTACCCACTTTAGCATTGAAATCCCCAACCACCATTACTCTCACACTTGATTCAAAACTCCCCACGCATTCACTCAACATTTCCCAGAATCTCTCTCTCTCCTCTACACTTCTCTCTTCTCCAGGTGCATACACACTTACTGTAACCCACTTTTCACATCCAATCTTTATTTTACTCCACATAATCCTTGAGTTTATACATTTGTATTCCCTCTTTTTCCTGCCATAGCTTATCCTTCAACATTATTGCTACTCCTTCTTTAGCTCTAACTCTATTTGAAACCCCTGACCTAATCCCATTTATTCCTCTCCATTGAAACTCCCCCACCCCTTCAGCTTTGTTTCACTTAAAGCCAGGACATCCAGCTTCTTCTCATTCATAACATCCACAATCATCTCTTTCTTATCATTTGCACAACATCCACGCACATTCAGACTTCCACTTTGACAATTTTATTCTTCTTATTCTTTTTAGTAATCTTTACAGGAAAAGGGGTTACTAGCCCATTGTTCCCGGCATTTTAGTTGACTTTTACAACACGCATGGCTTACGGAGGAAAGATTCTTATTCCACTTCCCCATGGATATAAAAGGAAAAGTAATAAGACCAAGAACTATTAAGATAAAATCAAAGAAAACTCAGATGAGTGTGTATAAATAAACGTGTACATGTATGTGTAGTGTGACCTAAGTGTAAGTAGAAGTAGCAAGACGTACCTGTAATCTTGCATATTATGAGACAGACAAAAGACACCAGAAATCCCACCATCATGTAAAACAATTACAGGCTTTCGTTTTACATTCACTTGGCAGGACGGTAGTACCTCACTGGGTGGTTGCTGTCTACCAACCTACTACCTATATTATATATATATATATATATTATAATATATATATATATATATATATATATATATATATATATATATATATATATATACATATATATATACATATATATATACATATATATATATATATATATATATATATATATATATATATATATAAATGTATATATATAAATAAATTAACTTACCTTTTCATGTCTATTTTTTAATAATTTTTTCGTCGTTATTAAAGGTAATTTTTCATCTGTTTACATTTTACATTTTGAGTAAAAACTACTTTAACGGAGTGAGAAAATAAAGTTATCTCCATCACTGATTAATCTATATCACAAATTTGTTCGTTATCACCGAAAAAAGAGGCAATTTTTATTTCATATTCCATATTGGTCCCAAGATTTAAATATTAATTTATTCTGGTTTTATAATTAATTGATTTAAATCATTGGTTTACATACACGTATATATATATATATATATATATAATATATATATATATTATATATATTATATATATATATATATATATATATATAATATATATTATATATGTATATATATATATATATATGTATATATATAAACTTAATAATTAGTTATTTTCGCCTAAATTAATAAATCTGGTTAATATTTTGTCTCGTCTAGTAAGGGTAACTATATTTATAAATTTCTCCGGTTTATCACACTTCTTTGCACACTCAAAGGTTTATTTTTGCATTTATGAAGTTGTTTTTAGGTTTATCAACTCACAATCAGATCTGACAGGTTTATTATAGAGTGAGAACCGCTGTTTCTCTTGTGTTGCGTTCGCGTTTTTTGGGGGCTGAAATTTTTGTTGCAGTGTTAAAAGTGTTGCTTCCAGGTGTATATGTGAGATCAGTGAGATCAGTGAGATTAGTGAGATTAGTGAGATCAGTGATATCAGTGAGATCAGTGAGATTAGTGAGATTAGTGAGATCAGTGAGATCAGTGAGATCAGTGAGATTAGTGAGATTAGTGAGATCAGTGAGATCAGTGAGATTAGTGAGATCAGTGAGATCAGTGAGATCAGTGAGATCAGTGAGATTAGCGAGATTAGTGATATCAGTGAGATCAGTGAGATCAGTGAGACTAGTGAGATTAGTGAGATTAGTGAGATCAGTGAGATCAGCGAGATCAGTGAGATTAGTGAGATCAGTGAGATTAGTGAGATCAGTGAGATTAGTGAAATCAGTGAGATCAGTGAGATTAGTGAGATCAGTGAGATCAGTGAGATTAGTATACGTGAGATTAGATCTCTTTTGTTTTAGTTTCGAGAGTGTTATGAAAATATTTCAGCAACGAACTAGTCAGTGTTTTGACCAGGAGTGACCTCATAGTACTTTAGTGGGCGTTTAAGTGCGTTAGTGGGCGTTTAAGAGCGTTAGAGAGCGTTTAAGTGCGTTAGTGGGCGTTTAAGTGCGTTAGTGTTCGTTTACTGCGTTAGTGGGCGTTTAAGTGCGTTATTGGGCGTTTAAGTGAGTTAGTGGGTGCTTAAGTGCGTTAGTGCGTATGTGAGTGTGTGAACGTATGCCAAGATAAATGGCCTCTTGGATCATTGTATTAGTAAACAATACACTTAAATACACTTGATTATCCTTAACTACATTTAAATACACTTCAATACAGCTTAACGCAAGAATTAACGAGAGTGTGACCCCCAGACGCCAGTGTCAGCGTCTTGAGGGGAAACTAAGACATCTCCGGCCATCTCTGTCTTTATGCCAGGACAGACATACGATAGAAGAACTTTGGAATACAGGGAATATAGTGGGGAGAGTAGGAGGGGTGTGAGAGAAATTGGAGGAAGCGAAAGGGGTGTGAAGCAATATAGCAGTTGTGGTTGTCAGGAAAAGTCGTGAGTGAATGAAGGGAGAGAGAGAGTGGCGGGGAAGAATTGTTCACTGGTTGGTGGCTATGAGAGAGAGAGAGAGAGAGAGAGAGAGAGAGAGAGAACATGAGAGGCTTAACCACATCCACACACACACACACACACACACAAACACAAACATTCACTAACAACTAAAACCATTTACAACAGCAACTCAGGGAACTAATGCCGTTGTAAATCTTTAAACTTAATCCCTTAGATCTGGGCTCCATATTGTAGCTACTGCCTCGAGGACTAGCCTCACACACCTCGTGCATCCCTCTTGAACGACCCCTTTTATTCCCGCACAGCTCATATTTAGCTGATCCAAGTCAGACCGGAGATTACGGGACAAAGGTTCGAGTCCCCACCACTCCTAGCTTTGATTGTTGCCTCTTGCCGTCTCCATGCTCCAGATGACATTCAATGGGGGTTCAACTCGAACAGCCACGTGTTGACCCAATTCAACAGTCGGCCCATGCAGCAGTTAATCTCTGATCCAGTACACCGTTCGTATATTCATAGATTAATTGATTTATGAAATTCGGTTTCCAATGTAATTAGCTTAGATTAGAGAATGTTCAGCAAGGTTAGGTTAGGTTAGGTTACATTAGGTTAGGTTAATTTATGCTGAGGCTAGGTTAGGTTACCTAAGCTTTGGTCAGGTTAGTTAATTTAGGCTAAAGTTAGCTTAGGTGAGCTAAGCTTGAGTTAGGCTCATCCTTCCCAACATACATCCACACCCATCAAAGATCATGATTGATCAATATCATTATCCTCACTCTCCAGAATTTCGGAAATATTTCATCTCAGCGAAGCGTAAAATCTCTCTAAGTTAGTCTTGAAATTGGGAGGCGAAAATGTACTTTCTCCTTGAGAAATTTCAATTTGCTCGCCAGTGGTGACGCTAAGATTAAAATTCTAACGTAAATTTGTTTGAGATCTGCTAGAAAATCGAATCTGCTCAGAGTACCTGCTGAGGACTCTAGTGGTAGCTGAGTACCTGCTGAGGGTAATAGTGGGTGGTGAGAGTTCTAATGGTACCTGAATACTTGTTGAGAATACTAGTGGTACCTGAGTACTTGCTAAGGACTCTAGTGGCAGCTAAGTACCTGCTGATGGTACCAGTGAAGCTGAATGTCTACTATAAATATGTATGGGAATCAGGTACGTATTCCAAGGGCTAGTTGTAGCTGGGTGTCTAATTTGTGTTGGACTTGTACATAACATCAAGAGAGAGAAGGATAGATAGATAGATAGAGATAGAGATAGACAGATAGATAGATAGATAGATAGAAAGATAGATAGATAGAGAGAGATAGAGAGAGAGAGAGAGAGAGAGAGAGAGAGAGAGAGAGAGAGAGAGAGAGAGAGAGAGAGAGAGAGAGAGAGAGAGAGAGAGAGAGAGAGAGAGAGAGAGAGAGAGTGCCAGAGGACAGGCACTCTGGCAGTAAATCTGAGAGCATACACCTGTAAACCCTAGTGGAGCCATCTTCACGGTGTGTTGAGAGCCTGTGTTACACCCTGGAGCCTAACACTTATTTTACCAAGCCAAGGTGTGTGTGTGTGTTGTGAGAGTACGTGTATGTGTGTGTATACACACTCATATATATATATATATATATATATATATATATATATATATATATAATATATATATATATATATATATATATATATATATATATATATATTATATATATAATATTATGGTCATGAAACAGGCCATTAAACCAGACCATGGGACACCAGACTATGACACCAGACCATGACACCAGACCATGGGAGACCAGACCATGGGAGACCAAACCATGGGAGACCAGACCATGGGAGACCAGACCATGGGAGACCAGACCATGGGAGACCAAACCATGGGAGACCAGACAACTCGAAAGGTTTGTAAACTTTCTGTTTAGCAAACTGATTCTCCAACTGAATTTGATTCTGTGTTAGTGAAAGGTTCTCAGTCAGCTACACAACTTTACCTCGAAAATACTTTACTCGGTGCTGTAAAACGTTTTATGGTGATGTAAAACGTTGGTTGTTGCTTGTGTAAAACGTTGGTTGGTGGTGTAAAACGTTGGTTGGTGGTGTAAAACGTTGGTTTGTGCTGTAAAACGTTGGTTGGTGGTGTAAAACGTTGGTTGGTGGTGTAAAACGTTGGTTGGTGGTGTAAAACGTTGGTTTGTGCTGTAAAACGTTGGTTGGTGGTTTAAAATGTTGGTTACTGCTATAAAACGTTGGTTTGTGCTATAAAACGTTGGTTGGTGGCGTAAAACGTTGGTTGGTGGTTTAAAACGTTGATTGTTGCTATAAAACGTTGGTTGGTGGCGTAAAACGTTGGTTGGTGGTTTAAAACGTTGATTGTTGCTATAAAACGTTGATTGTTGCTATAAAACGTTGGTTTGTGGCGTAAAACGTTGGTTGGTGGTTTAAAACGTTGATTGTTGCTATGAAACGTTGGTTGTTGCTATAAAACGTTGGTTTGTGGCGTAAAACGTTGGTTGGTGGTTTAAAACGTTGGTTGGTAGCTTAAAACGTTGGTTTGTGAAGTAAAACGTTCGTTTGTGATGTAAAACGTTGGTTGGTACTGCAAAACGTTGGATGGAACTATCGTTAACTCTCTCCCTACACCACACACACACACACACACACACACACACACACACACACACACACACACACACACACACACACACACACACACACACACACACACACACAAACACACACACACACATACACACACACGTGAAGTTGATGAGAAGAATTCACTCTATCGAAGACCAGGCAGAACTACAAAGGGATCTGGACAGGCTGCAGACCTGGTCCAGCAATTGGCTCCTGGAGTTCAATCCCACCAAGTGCAAAGTCATGAAGATTGGGGAAGGGCAAAGAAGGCCGCAGACGGAAAGTACAGTCTAGGGGGTCAGAGACTACAAACCTCACTCAAGGAAAAAGATCTTGGGTGAGTATAACACCAGGCACATCTCCTGAAGCGCACATCAAACCAAATAACTGCTGCACCATAATGGGCGCCCTAGCAAACCTCAGAACAGCATTCCGACATCTTAATAAGAATCATTCAGGACCCTGTACACCGTGAACGTTAGGCCCATATTGGAGTATGCGGCACCATTTTGGGAAACCCCACACCTAGCCAAGCACGTGAAGAAACTAGAGAAAGTGCAAAGGTTTGCAAAAAGACTAGTCCCAGAGTAAGAGGTATGTCCTACGAGGAGAGGTTAAGGGAAATCAACCTGACGACACTGGAGGACAGGAGAGATAGGGGGGACATGATAATGACATACAAAATACTGAGAGGAATTGACAAGGTGACAAAGACAGGATGTTCCAGAGATTGGACACAGTAACAAGGGGACACAGTTGAAGCTGAAGACACAGATGAATCACAGGGATGTTAGGAAGTATTTCTTCAGCCACAGAGTAGTCAGTAAGTGGAATAGTTTGGGAAGCGATGTAGTGGAGGCAGGATC